GTAATTGAGGATGATAAAATGTATCATGATGGATAAAATTGTAATATTCTGGGAAAGTATGACAACAATGCAGATGTTTGAGCCCTTTACATATTGGATTATGTTCTTGTTCTTGACTTCACTTGGTGTTATTGTTGCTATTGTTCTTGGTTTACATTAAATTAACAATGATCATTGTTTGTGGACTCCATTAACGAAAAATAGAGAAAACAGAAAAGAAAACTGTTAATTATGGTTAACTTGGTAGTATAATCATATTTTCCAATTTGCCATTGTATATATGTTATTCTCATTATTATCTTGAGATTTGATTAGAATTCTTTCAATCTGACTAACATAATTAATAATTTGTTTTATGCTTGAATTATTGGTTGATTTTATTAGTTAAAGGTTTGACAGTCCTTAAAACAAAGCTTGCTTATTTTAAATTTAGTTAATTTCTCCTTTGTTGTAGTTATTTTAATTCATATTAAATTCTTTATGTTACATAAAGAAGTTACCTTTTCTTTAATGATTAGGAAAACGTGAAGACAAAGCATCCTCAGTTGTTATATGAATCAAAGTTATACAGGATTCTTCAGGGAGGAAGTAATGATATACTTTCAGTTTTTTCCCTTAAAACATAGAGCTCTTGTTTCAATCTTTTGCTGTTTTTTAAATTTCATATTTGTTCTTTTGTTTCTTATACTGATTTTTTTTACTTCCCCTATCTCGATCTTTTTCTTGGAAGCTGGGATTCCAAATGTAAGATGGTTTGGAGTAGAGGGAGACTATAATGTTTTGGTTATGGATTTGCTTGGACCTAGTCTTGAAGACCTATTTAATTTCTGCAGTAGGAAACTGTCATTGAAGTCAGTTCTCATGCTCGCCGATCAAATGGTAGCCTTTTAAAAATTCATACATTGGCAGCTTTGGTTTTCCTCTTCCATTGTTGTCTTGTTGCCTGATGCTATTTTGTTTTCTCTCAGATCAATCGTGTTGAATTTGTTCACTCAAAATCATTTCTACATCGAGATATTAAGCCAGACAATTTTATCATGGGCCTGGGAAGGCGTGCAAATCAGGTTTCTGCTTTCTGCTCAAAATATTTTTATGTTATGTATGTTCTCTTTCTTTCTTCATTTTATTTGTTGCAGGAATAAATGTGACATCACTTTCACTTTCACATAGGTCTATATGATTGACTTTGGTCTGGCTAAGAAATATAGAGACAGTTCACATCAACACATTCCTTACAGGTGAGAGAAATTCAAAGGGTGTGATATATTGTATCGTATAGATCAGAAACCTTTTGTTCGCTTCTCATTGATTAATACTATCCAATAGTGTAACCGAGCTGTCACGGGGATAGTTGTATTACTTGTGGTGGAAGTAATGATGCATTGAACTTCTTTGCCTTCCATTGGCAATTCTATCTTTCAATGTTCTTTTTATTGATTTATTTGTTGATAGTGTGCACTATGCAGTGCATGAGTGAGCCAATTTTTTATATTTTACTTGATCATGACCATTTCAGGGAGAATAAGAATCTGACTGGAACTGCAAGATATGCAAGTATGAATACTCACTTGGGCATTGGTATGTGTGGTCAATTTTAGGTGTCTTTTTGTTAATGTATGGATCTTTTTAGTCTTCTCAATTTTGATTCTCTGCATAATGCCTATATCATGGAGAGCAAAGCCGTAGAGATGATTTGGAATCTCTTGGATATGTGCTTATGTACTTCCTAAGAGGAAGGTGATTCTTGCTACCTATGTTACTTTCCTTCTCTGTCTTGTGTATATCTCCACATTAGTTTTCAGTGTTGGTCTCTTCTCTTTTAACAGTCTTCCTTGGCAAGGTCTGAAAGCTGGAACAAAGAAACAGAAGTACGAGAGAATTAGTGAGAAGAAGGTTTCTACTTCAATTGAGGTAAAGATGTGTTTGAACCTTGCAATTGCATTAGGTTTTCTTAAAGGGAATGATGTATTAGAAAGAATCTCGCAATTGCTTTAGGTTTCCATAAAGAGAATGTGTGTGAACTTTCCAATTGCTTGGAACTTCTGGTTTTAAGTTTAAAAATTATGACTGAATACTGATGTGTTGTTCCAGGCCTTATGTCGAGGTTATCCGACAGAATTTGCATCATACTTCCATTATTGCCGTTCACTAAGATTTGATGATAAGCCAGACTACTCTTATCTAAAAAGAATCTTTCGTGACCTCTTTATTCGTGAAGGTTTATATTTTTAACAATCCATACTGTCAACTTGCATTGTTTCCATTGATCATGGTAATGTCACGTCTCATTGTTCTTGTCGGTCCATTACTTAACAGGCTTCCAGTTTGATTATGTCTTTGATTGGACCATTTTGAAGTATCAGCAATCACAACTGACCACTCCTCCTGCTCGAGCCATTGTAAGTTCTTAATAGGGTGTTTTGCTGCTGTTTTTCTGTAAATAGTATGCATTTATCTTTTGTAATGCTTGTTTCTGGCAGGGCCCCGGTGCTGGAACAAGTTCTCCCCTGCCCCCTGGCATGGGTGCTGACAGACAAACAGGTAACTGGTGTTCCTTTCATACGTTTGAGCATTTGAGCTTTTCATTAGCACTACTATTGAAGTTTTGAATTTTTTTATCACTCGAGTATTTGTTTCTATAACCCACTATGCAGCTCCTTTTCTTAAAATTTTTTCTTTGATATTTAATAAGAAAATGAATGCTTGCAGCTGGGGAGAACGCGCGAGCAGCTGGTTTGTCATCCATAAATTCCTCTTGGCGGAAAACATCAGGACCCTTGAATTCCGGAAGTCAGGCGAAGCAGAAAAATCCAGTTGCAAATGATCCTGCAGTTGCTAAAGACACTATGGTATTTTTATAATTATACTCATGGATCAAGTACAGTCTAGCATTCCAGTTACTGTTACTTTTCATTGAGGATGCATCCACGCACACACTATCCTATGAAGTAGTCTTATTTACATTTGATAGTACCAATGTATATCACGTTTGATTCCTTCTCTTTGAGTGCTAATTTGAATTTTACTTGCACCAAGTATATGGGGCAGACAGGTGCATCCTCTTCGAGGCATGCTGCAGCTTCTAGCAGCCGTGAAGCTTTTGGTGGTAGTGAGGCTGACCCCCAACGTTCTCGTTCAACTGATGCTAACCATGGAGACCCCAGGCGGTCATCATCTGGGAGAAACACCTCTCATACCAAGAATTACAAAGCTGCCCTCAAGGGTATGGAGGGCCTGCAATTCGAAAGTGACGAGAGAGTTCATTATTAAATGCTCTGCTGTATGAACTGTTTTAAACTCGGAAACAGAGTATGTATCGCTGGCGGTGACCTGGTTATACCCAAAGCCATTAAATTTCTCCACTGATGGGAAAAGCTGGTGACTGAAGCCTGTGAAGAAGGGTAGAATGATTGGGTATGAGTTATACACCTAACAGTTTAAACTCACTGTGCTTCTTGAGTTTTCATTATCATGTTTCTGTGATTATGATTTTTTCAGTCATCTGGGACTTCTTGTTTTGAAACTTTATGGCATTGTAAATTGCTTACTGAATCCATTTCACCTTGTTCACTCCTTTCTTTTTGATAAAATAGTGGGCCACTTTGCTTGATTTTTGGGTGTCAAGTCTTCCTATAAGTTATCTTCCACTATAGAAGCTTTTTAGTAACAGTCACAGGAAGTAAAAGGATCTGAACCTCAGGTTTTAAGTCCGTTTTATGGTTAATGTTGAAATTTGCGACTATCTTTTCCAACATTGTTTAAATTTCCTATAACTGATTCTACTGACCCGTGAGCAACAAATCATTATTCTCAACCGGAGCATTAAAAGAATTTTGTTTGGAAAACAAGAAACCCCATATCAGAAGGATAACCCCTTTCCCAATGATGATAGCTCATTAGAAACTATAGTCCGAAAGTTCCTGGATTCGATGTCCACTGCACCTAGACATAACCTGTGGGTCAATTTAAGGATATCGGGGACACTCGTTTACCGGAGGGCACGATTTGGGCCGTTGACTCCTTTTTTTGAAGTCAGACAGGAACCTTATAACCTCCCCCCATGCCCGTATGAATGGTCCGCCTGTGATTGGATTCGGAAGACTTGTTCTGGGTTTACAATCTCTTGAAGAACAATCATGTTGATAAAACAGTTCTTACAATATTCACAAGAATTAAAATTCTGAATTTAATTCTACAAAGGTTACCGTCTGGATGAGGGAAAATCATTACAGATTCACAATTACATAACTACATGTTAGGACTGTCAAATAAAAGAACCCACCACTGACCTTGAACTGCAACACTATCCATGGCTTCTAGAACCAACTATTCATGCACAGCTATTCAGACTGGTGCTGGTGGATCTGGGAAGATCCGTTCACCTCATTTTCGTTTATTTCGGAGTGTTGATCTCGTTGATTTTGTGATGCTGGCGGCACCTGCTTCTCGGATTTCTTCTTCTCCTTAACAATCACTCGTCTCGGCATCACTTCCAACAGAAAACTTCCCCCGTCCCAGACAGATGCAGAAACCTCGAGTATTTTGAAAATTGCATGGAATTCATATGAAAGGAAGATGGGGACTCTGAGTGCCATAGTTGCAACTGTGAAAATGGCTTGAAGTATAATTTCTTGTATCTATGGTGCTCGAATCAGGTCCTTAAGAAATAACAACAATTTCTTTACTACGAAAACCCCTTTTGTTCATGTTATAAATTTTATTTTTAATCACTCGATGAGTGTATTTAAAATGTTATATTCAAACACATGGCGTAACGCACCTTAAAGAAATGTATAATGTTTAATTATATAACACTAAAAAATGATATAGTTTCAATAAATAATCAATAATAAATGTCATTTTAGTACTTAACTTTTAAAACGAGGATGTACAAATAAAATCTTAAAATCAATTCATAAACGAGTCTAAATTTTACATTTAAAAAAATTAATATGATAAAATAAAACAACCCAATTAAACTCATTCCTACTCGAGTTGTCACAACAGTTTCCATATAAATCAACAGTTCAAAACTACCATTAAAAAAAGGGTTACAGAAAACAACCTAAATTGTCAAAACAAATGATGAAACACCTAAGGCCATCATCCCATACAAAAACAGAGAAGCAAATAGTTCAAACATACCAGCACCACCCACACATCTGCAGTGTTTTTTTTTAAATAGTTCTCTTATTTCATACAAATGGAACCAGCAGAATTAGTATGGCATTTCACATGGTCGTCAAAGTCAGTCGTACCGGATACTAAGAGGGAATTCGTGTTCTTTCTCTTCGTCGCTTTTAATCAGAGCTTATGTTTTGTATGCCAGTAAAATAAAAAAAAATCGAGGAGACAACGATCAACGATAACAGCGGGGTGTATGTTTATAGAGCGCTTCTACCAGCTGCAACTTCAAAAGAAAAGGACAAAGTTTGAGTTCCAGGGTGTGAGCCAAATAATAAAATCTCAAAAGATTACATGCCTGCCAGTCAACTCCTCAGGGAATCTGAAAGCAACATTACACACCCATCAATAAGAGAAAAAAAGATGGTGAGGGAAGGGAATGAGGGCGCAAAATGGGACGTAATGAGAGAATTTACGTACTACTGACAGCTTTCCGGCAACTTCGGAAATAAGAAAAAGGAGAAATCAGAGAGACAACAGTAAATATGAAGCTCACAGTTTTATAGGTGCATTATATTCCCTGGCATAATAATGGAAGGTTTGTTTCTAAATGAATCAAAGACATATGTTCGTATTTAAAGATTTGGAGCGAAAACGTTCTGGTTGAATTTAAACAATATAGCCCTGGCGTCATGGCATTAAACTATGCTTACAACAGTAATACAATCTTCCATGACTGTCAACATGATGTGGTAGAAACAAGGTTGCTCACAAGGTGCAGCTAGGCTTAGGATAAAAGCATGGACTAGGTGGGGGAAAAGGTTAGCCAAACTTCAAAATATGAGCTTAAGAAAGCAAATTTATAGTTGCAAGAGATAAGGGGGAAATTATAATCCAAAGGCTAAAAATCTAATCTTGTTAAATATCATCTAACAATAGTTATATAGGGGAAAAAGTGAATTACCATGTCCGTTTTTTGACACATGTTTTTCGAAAAATTGCTGAATTGTTCGCCAGTAGTGGTCACCACCAGCTAACCAAGTGTCCATGTGCATGCCAGTAGGGAATTCTACAAAGAGGCATTGTTTGTTATGAGCTGCTGCTTTAGCATATAGCATCTGCATATGGGATGGCGGAACCATCTCGTCTTGCAATCCAGAAAGAAAAAGGATAGGCTGCTTGACCTGCAGATGTAATGTTCAAAATAGCGAAAGAACTATCAGCTAATGAGATGACTCAGAGACATATACACTCAAGGTAGAACAAGCATCATCTTCCTGCCTTCATAGTTACAGATGCATTAGCAAAATTCACATAGGTCAAAAATGCCGACCGACGTACTAATTATCTTGTACCTAAATTAAGTCTACTCATTTCCTTCACAATTCACTCGGATAGGCTACTAATAGATATTAGGAAATCTTTCATTATATACAAGCCAATAATATAGTCTAAAGATTCGAAAAATCTAGTTACGTTTCCAACCAACATGTAATTACCTGCCCAATGACGTCGATGGTACTCCATGGAGAGCGGACAAGAAAATTAAGAATTTTGGGACCTTTGGTACCAGAACCTCCAATAAACCACTTCATGAAAGGCAATAAAACTCCAGCCATGTCCAGAATCGATGTGAAAGTATTTTCTAGTATCAACGCAGCAACCTGAAATTTAAAGGAAAACCAAGGAATGACATACTTCAGTTGTTTGTAGAAATCCCATCTACCATCAAAGATGAACTAAACTAGAGTAACATGATCATATGAGACATGACTGGAAAAAAACCATGCATAAAACAAATAAATGATAGTAAACAACTTGGGAATATAACAGTCCAAATACAGGAAAATTAAAGGTAACTTGGTTGAATAACAAGGACACCTTAAAGCAAAGTAAGATCTCCGTAACACATCTATATTGCCCAGAAAAGGTATAATCATTCAACGTGTTATTGTGCAAGTGCATGTTGTCAGTACTCCCATCATCCTTTGAAACTAACTTAAAAACATATCAAATTTCTCCAGCTTGTGAACATTGATCCTACATGTCCAATCAATCCATAAGATTTTACAAGTATATGTGCCATATTTAATTAAAATCTTGCCAGGATATCGATACAGTCATGTCATGTTAGAGCAGACAAAATCAAAGTGAAATCAGGATACCATCCAGAATGCATAATATGTTAAACCATTGTTGTTGATAATCTGTCCAGTATGAGTTTGAACCACTGTATTACAATACATTTCTGATTCTAAATCTCTTTAGCCCCAGAAAGAAAGAAAAGTAATGAAATAATCATGATAGGGATACCTTATCAGGATTGTTTTTGGTGACTACAGCTCCAACAGCACCCCCAAGCGATCTTCCAAAGACTACTATTCTATCTGTGTCGATATCAGTCCGCTGGGAGAGATGATCCAGTGCAGCCTAAATTAGAAAAAGGAAAGAAATTGTCATGAGTTGCTAGTTTGTCAAGGTAGTAGCCTTATGAATCTAGAAAAGAAAAGGAGTCACAACCTGAGCATCTTTAATAATTCCATGCTGAGAAGGATAACCATCACTTGCTCCATAACTGTTTGATCAATCAGATGTTAAACTTCATTCAATAGATAAGTTGTATGCTCGGTATACTCAAGGCCAAGATGCCAACAACATAAGAAAGCTAAAAACAGAGAAGCATCGTATTAGATATTTAGGACACACACCCTCGATATGAAAGCATGAAGACATTGCATTGTAACCTCTGTAGCATTATGCGAACCATTTCTAGACGGTGAGCAATATCTACAGGTTACAGTCAAGGTTGCCAATTTAAATCAGCTAAAATGTGAAATAAAAATTATAACGCAAAACGAATAAATAAAACCGATGAAAAGGATACTTCCAGCGTTCTCTTGAAAAAACAGGATGGTTGGACCTGCAAAATCAACAGAACTACTTTCAAAGCAATGAAATGGTGTTGCAATCTTAATATCAGAACACCAACATGCTACGATGTATTGCAGGACAACATCCTAGCATATTCTTAAGCTATGCACAACGTAAATGCTCAGTATAGTCATTTTCTCCCAAGAGCTTACAAGTTTTTTCCTAAACTTTCAAACACATGTAATATCTAAATCGAGAGCCTAGATCAAAACAAATAGAAACAGATACGGTGAGCATTTTAAAGAGAAACACACAAGTAAGCATAATTCCTAGTTAAAATTAGGGTGAGCGTTTGATCGAGTCGATTCGAGTCAAAAAATTTCGACATATTCAAGTTGACAAGTCCTATTTTATAACTCAAAGTTGACTTGAAATTTTTTCGAGTCGAGTGAATTTTCGAGTTTCTATTTATATTTAATTGCAAATATTTATAATATTATGATATTATTTGATTCCATTTTAAATGCTTTTTATAACTATATAAAATACATATATATTTCTTCATATTTTTTTTCATATGTGATACACTTATTATACAGAGTTTAGGGACTTGAAGCAAACTTCAAAATCAATCACTAATTACTAAAAAATTCGAGTTATTTGAGTTGTTTTTTACTAATCGATTTGAGCTTGAAATTTTTGAGTTGAGTCGAGTCTTTGAAATTACAACTCAAAGTTAATTCGAGTTTTCTCGAGTCGAAAAAATGGGGTTTTGCTCGCTCCTAGTTAAAATCATCTTTCACCTTACTTTAAATGACATTTAGTTTAAAGGAACACTTAAGAATTTAGCATCAGTTTCAATCATCCTATCTTCAAAGTTCAAAAAGAGCAGCTAAAAGGATGAAAGCAAACCATACAAGCCTTTCCCCAAAAAATGAAAAATATCAACCTAAAAGCAGCATTCAACCAAACAACCAGCAAAAGAACCACTAGCTCCAAAAAAAAATGCAAACCGAAAAACAACCCTAATCCCACTGAAAAAATAACTAAAACAAGCTGAATTACTACAATTCAATTAGAAAACAAAACAAAACAAAATAAAACGCTAGGGAAAAAACAGATCAGGAGTGAAAGTGTGAAAGTGACCTCTGCAGTCAGGAAAGAGCTTGATGAACCAAGAATGGAGTTTGATTCCATCGGAGGACCGGAGCCAAACGTCCTCGTAGGTGAGTCGGAGTCGGGCCGGCGTTATCGGGTAAGACTTGGTTAGACCAGGCAAAACCGGAACGTAGACGAGTTTCTCTTGAAACGCCACCAGCAACGCCATCCCGGCTACCACTATCCCTCCCACCCCGTACAACAATACGTTTACGTAAGACGCCATTTTCTTCTCTCTTCGTCGTCTCGTAGACCGTAGCAGCTGCGCTTTTCTTTCTAATTTCAGCTTCTCTGATTGCTGTTTTTTATGTGGTTTTTCCCTCTGTTGGTTGTTTAATTTTGGGTAAACTATATGTTTAGTTATTAAACTATCAATTTTGGTCTATTTTAGCATACTAGACTTTTATTTTTTTTAAATCATACTTAATGTTTAATTTTTATTTCATTTTAGTACTTACAGTTAAAAACTTAACATGTTTAGTACCCAAACTATCAATTTTGGTCCATTTTAATATCTAATCTTTTAATTTTTTCCGAAACTTAACGTTGATTTTTGAACATAGGTACTAAAATGAAATAAAATCTAAACATTATATATTTTTTGAAAAAAATTGAAAGTTTAGGTACTAAAACGGACCAAAATTGATAGTTTAGTACTAAACATGTAATTTATCCTTAATTTTTTCTTTGTTTTATTTAGAGTTAATTTTATTATATGTCCCTAATCTACGACTCATATTTCAAAATAGTTTCTAAATTTTTAAACATTTTAATTTTATTTTTAAATTATGACTCCCACTAAATATTTCAATTTAGTCTCCAAACTATGATCTTTATTATAAATCAATTCCTGAATTTTTAAGCATTTCAACTTCATCACGGACCCATTTGTAATTCGATATATGTCGATAAACCTGTTAAAAATTGTAACATGTCATGCAAATATTGATGTGTATAATGTAATAATATCATGCAGCAGAAATAATAATTCAATATTATATCGCCCGGAAGTTGCTTGGCCTCTCGGCGTCGATCAAATCCATGTGGACCTCGATAGTGCAGCAGCGGTGGAAAGTCTCGTTTCTCGACCCCCTGATAATGAACTTCCAATAGATCTCATGAACCGTCCATAGAGAGTTTTGGTGCGGTACATAGAGAGTTTGGCCAAAACTGGTCGGGGACACAGCCCCGGGACGAACGGTATTAGGCCAACCCCTGCTGAAGCCGTGAACATACTCAAAATATTTAACCATTTTTTTTAATTTGCCAAAATGACCAACAAAATCGCAACGCGAACTCTAATTTTTCAACTCAGTTTCCAAATTCGCAATGCGAATATCTAGATTCGCGGCGCGATTGTAAGTTTCGCGATTTTGAAAATTGTGTTGCGATTGTTAAAATGTGTTACGAGAGTTTGAAAAACGTGTTGTTGCGATAGTGAAAAAGTGTTGCGATAGTGAAAAATCCAAAATAAGTTTACATTTTAATTATTCCAAATTCACGTGGAGTTTGAAACAATAAATAATCTGTTGCGATAATGTAAAAGATTCCCAAGCCATTTGTAAGATCTTAGTTTGAAACAATAAAGAATGTGTTGCGATAGTATAAAAGATTCTCAAGTGTTGGCAATGTTTAATCCCATATAGTATTGGAAACACTATTGGGAATGGGTATTTAAGGCTTGGATTTCTCACTTCCTTTTTGAGTGGAAGAGAACAAGTGAGACTCTCACGCACCGCCGCCGCCGCAGTCCCGTCTCGTCTCGTCTAGGGTCGTGGTCGTGGTCGTGGTAATACGTGTCTTCGACACGTCCGCGCGGATACTATCTTTTTAGAGAAAATTCTTAAGAAACAAATACAATACCACCAGTCGTTGCGAACTTGGACTATCGCAACGCGAACTTGGACTATCGCAACGAATTTGAAAAATCGCAATGCGAATTTCGACTATCGCAACGAATTTGGAAAATCGCAACGCGAACTTCGACTATCGCAACGTGAACTTGGGCTATCACAACGAATTTGAACTAACGTAAATTTGGAAAATCGCAACGAATTTGGAAAATCGCAACGCGAACTTGGACTATCACAAAATCGCGTTGCGAATTTGTAAACTGAGTTGAAAAATTAGAGTTCGCGTTACGATTTTGTTGGCCATTTTGGTAAATCCAAAAAAAGTTGATTAAAATCGTATATTATAAGACATTTTCGGTCACTAAGATTATTTTCTCTAAAATAAATTATACAACAACTGGTTTATATAATTTATTAATTTTAAGTGTTAATTTAAAATCAATCATACTCTAAATAATTTATTAAATTTAAAGTCTAATAAAAATGACATGACATGGAAACACCCTGTATCTTTTAAATAGGATTTAATGTTTTGAATAAATTTGGTTAGGGAGATATATGATAGATACCCCATATGAGAGTTTTGGTCTATTTGCTTTTGAACTGTCCAATTAATTTCTCATTTATGATTAATAAATAATTGTGTTAAGGTTTTATTCTATTTTTCTTTTAAAAAGGAACTATGATATTTTATTAGTTATATAAAAAGATGTTGATGATAGCTACTTTGATATTTAATTTTAAAAAATAAAATTACTTATAAATATTTACTAAAAATTTGATAAAAAGATATTAGAGTACCCTATACTTTAAATAAAACCAATGTTGTCATCATATTATTTTTTATTTCAATGTGACTCTCCAACTTAGAAAATAAGCCCAATGACCTAATGTAGCCCTTTAACAAATGTTTTTCATCGTTGACCGTTACGATGATGATAGGCTTGTTTATAATGTTGACGTGACAGTCCATAATGTTAACGTGACAGTCCACGGTAGTTGATAACGTGGTGGATAACATTGAAGATAGGCTAAATTGATAACTCAACATGACAAATGGATAGCCATATCAGTACAGTTAACATGCACCAAAAACCATGCCCGAGATCAAGAAAAAACAGAATTATAAGGTTATAGCCACTATACAATCATGAAAAGTCTCTACAAGTATTTGATCTAAATAAAACTCAGAATCTGAATCATTAAAAGCAATTATGTAAACCGATAATGCCGGAGAAATGTTAACCAACTACATTGAATCAAAGCTACAGCTACTAAATCATTACTTAGCGTTCAGAATTGCTTTTTAACTGGAATTTTCTTTGTCAGCATATCGTGAAGGTACCTGCTTTCTGCGGTGTAGTTCACATTGTCAACCTTCACTACGGTGATTTTTACCCTCTGTTCATCACCATAGAGTTCCTCTTTGATTTTAAGCCTGAACAGGTATTGATGAAAGAGTCTGTTGCGAATAATTTCACCAAATCGGGTATCATCCTGCAGTTCGTATTTCAACAAATACATTTCCTTTGCCGGGCATCCCAAGATGTCTTCGCCGGATTCCTGGAAAGCTGTTACCCAAGTCAGTCCTGTATGGTCTTGAATCTGGATCTGGAGAAGATATCTATAATCACATTCCTCAAATTCTTGGTTGCAACGGTCGCAAAGCCATCTTTTATTGCTGGATCGTGTCACTTTCTTATTGCACTGCCTATCTCCAATCATCAAAGGGCAGGCTGTATAACAGAAATTATCTGTTTTAATGAAAACTACAGTCGCCTTGGCTGTGACCCAATCTGGCTTATCGGATCTTCCGAGACCTTCGTCCTTGATCTGAGCTAAGGTTTTACGTATCTCGTTTTTGGATCCTCCCGGCATAATTTCTTTAGATATAGAGATAGAATCAGTATTTCTACCCCCACTTTCAAACCAGTTTCTCAGGCCTTGAGCCTCCGGACCATCTGGATCTATAAAGAGCTGCGTGGAAGAAATAGTGCCAATGGACTTTCCATTGAAGTCATTGACCTTTCCGGCTTTTACTGCCAAAACTGGGAATAACCCAGAATCAACCATCCCTTTCAGCTTTTGACCTTCCTTGCTGCAGAAATCACCCCAAAGAGTTACCTCAACACTCTTTCCAGATGCATCCTTCAAATTCAGAATTTGTCTCTGAGTTTCCATACCATTCTTTCTCAAAATAGGAACTGAAGGGTTCACAGAAATCACAATACCAATAACATCAAGTATAGAATCGTTTTCAGCACTCTCAATTTCACTGATAGGTCTGAAGGAGAACTGTTGTCTTGGAATAGAACCATCTTCATCAGGGCAAAGTTCCACAGTTGAATTTGACTCCAAGAATATCTCCCACTCGTTCTTCAAATGGTTGAAATTCTTTTTTGCAGGTTTCAAGCTACCCTTGGAAATCAAGTAAACTTTACCAACTTCAATAACAGAGTAGAAGCGGTCAACAACAGCGTTGAAGCAGGTCACGCGTATTTCACCTCCATCGGAATCAAGGAGGTCAAAGGAAAAGACCTTCCCATCGCCCCTAGCATTGTTGTAGCGACGAAGATCCCCTTTTGCAGTCACACGAGCCTTGATAGCCCAACGTCCCTGATAAGGATTTAAAGCAGCAATAGGAATTATCCGTGCTGCTGCCTCATTTTTCATTATTGGTCCCTGAATTTTGTAATTTGGAGGTGGCTGGCATGCCGGTTGAATGATCGGCCGGAAACTCTGGGCATTATTAGGAGGAGCTTGAGGGTTATATCTATTATTGGTGGACCTCACAGAAGGCTCCAAATTGTTATTAGGCGTTGACTTGTTAGGTTCCAGTTCAGATCCAGAAACAAGTTTTGGATTCCCAATAATTTCATACTCTAAAATTATAGTCTCCATATTCAGCACAACAATAATCCTACACAAAGAGAACAAAATATGATATATCCAAGACCAAATCAAAAGAGCTGAGACTCGAGAGCATCAAACTTCTGCTAAGGTGTAGTCACTATAAGGCATGAGAGGTAATAAACTAATCATTGTCCAAAACACGCTAAACATATAAAGCTAACCCAATTTCCTGAGGCTATGTAGCAGATTTGGTTCAAATTATACACATTGGATAATGAAAGATAAAAATCAACTTCCTCCTTACTTTAATAATTACAATGAATTTGAATAATCTTCTCCATAATAGTCCTTTTAATATGTTCTTAGAAGGAGAAAAGGATTGGTAATAGTTTATCTACGTAAAGATTTCCTTCAACTTTTTGCGCAAAGAGAGCCAATCAAACTAATCATAATAAATAAGAATTTGCATTTCTATAATCTTCAAGCAAAAATATCCAAGGCGCAACTTCGAATTTGTCTCTGAAATTTCTCATGGTGATTTTTCAGAGTAATAGTACATCAAGATTTAAAGCATTTGGATAACTCAGAAATTGGATAAGCTAATAAACGATTAGAGATAC